CTATTTTATAAACCTATTTTCCAGAGTAAAATTTTATAAACGTTATTTATAAACCTGTTTTATAAACTTATTTTCCTGAGTAAGATCTTAAAAACCTATTTTATAAACCTATTTTCCTGAGTAAGATTTTACAAACCTATTTTATAAACCTATTTTCCAGAGTAAGATTTTATAAACCTACTTTATAAACCTGTTTTATAAACCTATTTTCCTGAGTAAGATCTTTAAAAATCTATTTTATAAACCTATTTTCCTGAGTAAGATTTTACAAACCTATTTTATAAACCTATTTTATAAACCTATTTTGCTGAGTAAGATTTTACAAACCTATTTATTGTGAGACCAAAACTACCTACACAATAGACTCTTCCAGGTCTATATTAAGTATGCGACGCAACACTCTAGACTGAGTGACACAGAGTGACACTGAGAGATAGAGACACAGTGAGAGCCGCGTACGACTACCAGTATTGGACACTAACATATAGTAAGCTCCACTTACACTATCTCTGTAACCTGTTGTTAATATATCTTTCTTACATCTAATCCGTGTTCCGTGTTTTACTTCTGTGGTCCCAACTTTGGCCCCACATCAATGGCGACGAGGATTCGAGAAACGCACTCACGGCGAAACCTAAATACCTTACCAGTTCCACATCTGTGTCGACGAAGAATTCGAGAAACGCATTCACGTAGAAAACCGTAATACCTTGCCAGTCCCACAACAGTGGCGACAGAAAGATTCGAGAATTTCGTTCTCACCATATCAATAGTGAGAGAGTACTCGAAAAATACACAGAAACTCTACGCGTTCCCACAGTAGTGTTGAACGAGAAATTAAGCTGGTATTACTACATTAGCGATTTAAACGCAACACCCAGCGTCTAAAAAAAATATATTCCGATACCAAGTAGCATTGACGAACTAGCGATTCGACACCTACGGAATATTAAAGTCTGTCCAAATAACATTACCAGAACGATTTCTTACTCACACACAGAAAAAAAAATAGTTTGTTCGTAAAACAAACTGGCAATACAAGAGCGAGGTACTACCATTGTACTCAAGTTTTCGAAAAAAAAAAACTATCTAATTTTTTTTATATATAACTGAGTTGAACTCGTGCATAAATTATTCTCCCCTCAAATTCACTGAGGTGAGTTTTCTCTTTTGTACCTCTATAAAAAAAAAATATATACATAATAAGTGTGGTGAAAATTTATACAATTACGTTAAAATTAACAGAAGCAGGAAATCTCAAAAAAGCTAAACACATAATTAGTTTAGTTTAACTATTGTCTGTCCATATTTTTTTCTGTAAAAGAAAAAAAAAGGAACAAAAATCTATCAAGATTTTTTTTTTGTACCTCCTCTTAGTACACGTGTTTCAAAGCAACAAAAAATGCGCTGTCATTTTTAAATATGGAACATTTTCAAAAAGCAGTTGACCAATTGTTAAAACTAAATTTGGATCAGCAACAAAAATCAGAAGAAAGACAACAACAACTAATTTTGGAATTACATAAACAACAAATGGAATTCCAACAAATTACGCTTCAGAGTGCTGAACTACAACAGAAACAACTTAAAGAATTACTCGTAAATGCATTAAAAGGCTCAAACTCTGAAAAAGATACAATATTCTCCCAGAGTACAATCTACAATTCAATGGAAACCTTTGAATACGTACGTCTTCTATTGAGAAAACTGGGAACTACAGAACATAGTAGGTTCGTAGAGTTCATACTACCCAAGAAAACGACTGACTTGGATTTTTCCGAGACTAATAAGCTCCTATCGGAACTATTCGGGCCTAACACAACCTTGTTCCACAAACGTTGGAAATGCCTGAACACAGTCAAAGACAACCAGCAAGATTTTCTAACGTTTGCAGCATCGGTAAACAAGCTATGTAATGATTTTAAACTAGCCGAACTGACTGCCGATGATTTCAAGTGCTTGATTTTCGCACAAGGTCTAGTATCAGCAGAAGACACCGAAGTCAGACGACGGGTACTGAACAAGGATTGACTATCCAAAAACTGGCAGAGGACTGTCAAAGAGTAATATCTGTAAAATGTGACTCAAACACTATCGAGGAATCAGGTGTGGCTCAGATTAATAAAATCAGAAGCAAGTCTACCTCCTATTCCCCTCAAAAAGTCAAAATGCAAATCTCATGTCCTAAATTCCGCAGTAACCAAAACCCAAATAGGTTAAAGAAACCGCCCGGACCATGTTACCATTGTGGTAAATGACATTGGATGAAATTTTGTCCAGTTAAGAACAAAAAATATTGCAAAAATTGCAATAAAAGTGGGCATATTTTAACTTCGTGCTGGTACGCCAACAGAACGAGCAAACCCAAAAATAAAATTAGGCAAGCTCAATCTGACAATATTGTCGATAGGAATTCAAGAAAATATGTAATAGTGGATATTTTCAATAAGTCCATTAAATTCCAGCTTGACTCGGGTTCCGATCTTTCAACCATTAACTGGCGTACTTGGCGAAAATTAAACAAGCCGACCTTATTAAAAACGGATAAAACAGCAAAATCCGTAACTGGCGAAAAGATTAACATTTTAGGCGAGGTAATACTTGCAGTAACACTAAATGGAGTTACCAAAAAGCTCAAAGCCTACGTATTGAAAACTTCAGATAACTTATTTGGAACAGATTGGATAGAAAAATTCAATCTTTGGGATTGCCCAATGAATACATTTTGTCGCAAGATACAAAGTGCAACGTCCAATTTGGTAAATCTAAAGAAGGAACTCAAACAACAATTTCCCCAGTTTTTATTTTCTGGCGGCCTTGGGAAATGTACTAAAATGAAAGCTAAGTTCAAGGTGAAGGACGGTGCACAACCGGTTTTCAAAAAGAAACGGAATGTCCCTTTCGCTGCTGTAGAGAAAATCAACAAAGAGTTACATAGACTCAAACTGTTGTTAATATATCTTTCTTACATCTAATCCGTGTTCCGTGTTTTACTTCTGTGGTCCCAACGTTGGCCCCACATCACTATTTTATAAACCTGTTTTATTAACCTGTTTTCCTGAGTAAGATTTTATAAACCTATTTTATAAACCTATTTTCCTGAGTAAGATTTTATAAACCTATTTTATAAACCTATTTTATAAACCTATTTTCCTGAGTAAGATTTTATAAACCTATTTTCCTGAGTAAGATTTTATAAACCTATTTTATAAACCTATTTTATATACCTATTTTCCTGAGTAAGATTTTACAAACCTATTTTATAAACCTATTTTCCTGAGTAAGATTTTATAAATTTAACCCGACTCTAACGCCTGCTGTTCGGATAATGAATGCAGAATGGTTCCATTACCATTTCGCCAGAACTTAATACTCTAATGAAGAGCACCTTTTACCTTCAAAACTTGCATAGCATGATATGTCACTGAGCTGAACGAATAGCGGAGATTGAGCAATATCCCACCATACATTCATTACAAACTGGTTCTTTTTTTTTTTCTTTTGTTAGATTATTTCACCCCAAGCAAGGCGTTAATGCCACTATGACGCAAGGGCTTACTGGGAGTGAACGAGAATGAGAAAACAATAAAAGAACAGCTTTCTGGTAGACAGAAGATAGCGATTGACGTTGAATTTAATTTTTGTAGATTGTTGGTGACAGGGAAGCAAGAAATCAGAAGAGATTTCCACGGGAGAGAAGTGCGAGGAGAGAATTGCGAGAGAAGAAAGTATTAGAATAGAACTTGCGGTTATATCTACCTATTTCAGCAGTAAAATGATGAAATCTAGTTACCAGTCTAGTAATACACTAAAACGGATAGCACATATACCTAGAAGGTAAAAATAATTATATAATGAACATGTTGTCTTGACCGTAAACAAAATGTTAGGAAGGAAACTCCAATCAGTACTGGAAAGAACTATAACATTCAATGGACTTATATCTATTTTCATGAAAAAAACTGTTTTAAGGGAAATAATTTATAAATTTCAACCGAAGATAACTGTGTTTGCTCAATGATGCCGAAAATTTCCTTGGACGAAAGCCGCTAATCCCATCATTATTATTAATATCACCATATAATCAATACCGTATATTTATTATAATTTTTAATAAGTAACAGATATTAAGGTGATCAATAATACATTGAATATAGCAACACGAATATTATCACTTTAACATATAAACGTAATATTTAATAAAATCTATCTTACATATCTACAATTCGTTCATGCTTAGACAATTGCTACCACATATGGTCCGGTGCCCCTGTTATTTACCTTGATCTATTTTTATAAAATCCAAAGAAGAAATTAACAATATTATTGGTTCTGATATGGTGGCTCGGCTTCAGTCACTTTCCTACCACCGTAAGCTTGCCTATCTGTGTCTTTTCTACAAGTAATTTCATGGTAATTGTTCGGATGACTTTGCTATGATACCAAGACATTTTGAATTTAAGCGCAACACTAGACGTCGTTCACATCAATTTACGGTTGAGCTGACAAGATGTAACAGTAAATTCTATGCTAACACTTCCTTTTTTTTACACTTCTCATTTGAGGGGAAGTTAAAAAGTATGATTTCCAGCCACCTTTAATCTGTAAAAATTTAACTGCAATGTCAATCGCTATCTACTGTCTTCCTGATTACTCTTTCTTCTTCCTGCTTATTATTACCATTTCTTCTACACACATCGATCTCTTTTGTCGTAGTAGCTTTACTGCTTTGTATGGAGTGATATCGCTTAAAAAACAAGTTGCCAATAATGAAAAAATATAAAAAGGAAAAAACTACTATGTAGTCAAAATAGTATTTCCTAACGAAGTCGATCTTCTGCAACTTCGACACTGAAAGCTGTATTGGATTTTGTCAAAATAATAAGTAAATAAAATAACAATTTGCATTTGATAGACTAAAAAGAACGTTAATCGTGTATTAATCTGATGCCATTTGCAAGTCCTGATTGGTACAAAATATTGAACTAGGGATGTACTCGTCACCAGCCGAAAGATTTAACCAGGGAGACATCGCCCGGGTGACTGATGAGCTGGCGTGTGGGAAATGGAATAAAGTCGGAAGTAATGAGGGTGGGTGTCACCAATATGGCGGAGGTGATCGTCCGCATCCCACCCTCTGACCTCGATTCCCCTCCCACCTTAACGCCTGCCCACCGCAGTACAGACGTCTGCAAAAAATGTCAGAGAAATGAACCGAATTAATTGCCCCATAAAGTAATGGACTGCACAAAGGACACAAAAACAATAGACACGCAAGGCACACACCTACAGCAAGTTGTGTGAGTGCAGTAATAGATAGATAGATAGATAGATAGATAGATAGATAGATAGATAGATAGATAATGAGAAAATGATAGAAATGAAGAAGATAGATAGATAGATAGATAGATAGATAGATAGATAGATAGATAGATAATGAAGAAACTAGATAGATAGATAGATAGATAGATAGATAGATAGATAGATAGATAGATAGATAGATAGATAGATAATGAATGAAATGAGATAGATAGATAGATAGATAGATAGATAGATAGATAGATAGATAGATAGATAGATAATGAAGAAACTGATAGATAGATAGATAGATAGATAGATAGATAGATAGATAGATAGATAGATAATGAAGAAACTTAGATAGATAGATAGATAGATAGATAGATAGATGGATGGATGAAGATAATGAAGAAACTGAGATAGATGGATAGATAGATAGATAGATAGATAGATAGATAGATGGAGATAATGAAGAAACTGAGATAGATAGATAGATAGATGGATAGATAGATAGATAGATGGATAATGAAGAAACTAGGAGATGAAGATAGATAGATAGATAGATAGATAGATAGATAGATAGATAGAATAGATGAATGATATATTTAGACAGAGAGATAAATAATGTTTCGTTGTTCTTCAAACAAACCTGCATATATATATATATATATATATATATATATATATATATATATATATATATATATATATATATATATATATAAATAAAAAAAGAAAGAAACAGTAAGATATAAAATCCGGTGTTCTTATAGATATTTTATTTTTACAAAATAGTGCTCAATGTAAATTTACAGAGCATTAATATTATAAATTAATTGATTTAAAATATGGTTATTTTCGCTACACAGTTCCAACCATGTTTCAAAAATAGAAGCTAAAAACCCCTAATTTTATTTTTGCAAATAATCAGTGAAATTAAGTAACCATTTCTGCTGTCATAGTCATATACAAAAAAAAAAAAATGTAACCTCATATACATACTTAAACTTAATGTTAAAATAATCCTACATAATATAATGGATTCTAATACATTTAACTGTTCTTAAAAAAAGAATATAGTAAAATAAAAATTAAAAAGGAAAATATTTCAAATCGTAGTTAAATAAAAGTATTGTAAAAAAAAAAATCTTTAATTTTAAAAGATGACGTTGAAAATTTTTTACCGTTAACAATTTTTTTTTTTTTTTTAATTCAGACGACATCCATTCAACTGACGTCAGGTTTCAGTGTAAAATACATCCTCACCCCTTACCAAAATGTAGCTAATAACTGATACAATGATACTGTCATAAGGAAAATCTAGACACCCCGTGTTCAATTTGAGTAGAATATTCTGTAACCATGGAAACGTGATTTTAGCTGTGTATTTAAAACCCGGTAAATTTTAAAAGTTACTCCAAAATTCGCTTGAAGATGAAATGCTTTTTAATTTATTTGCAAAAATAAAATTAGGGTTTGTAGCTTCTATTTTTTGAAACATGGTTGGAACTGTATAGCGAAAATAACCATATTTTAAATCAATTAATTTATAATATATATATATATATATATATATTCATATATATATTTCATGCTAGACGCAATCGTCAGGCCACCTATATATATATATATATATATATATATATATATGTGGCCTGACGATTGCGTCTAGCATGAAACAGACTGTCGTCTCTAAGTGTTGACTTCTATGTTCACTTTATAATACACACTATATATCTCTTATATTGAGCACTTTATTTCATAAATATAGCACATCTTAAGATTATATGTATATATATATATATATATATATATATATGTATTAGTTTTTCATCCATCAAATGTCATGAATTTGAATATCGAGAAAAGAAAACTTCGATATGTTTCTTTTTCATCATAATTTTCATGTAGAAAATTCTATAAATTTAATTAATTTGTTGGCCGCTCTGATAACACCATTTTCAAATCGTTTACAAACACGACACACAATCTCCTGTCAGGTCGTGGCTATTATTCAGCGCAGGACCAAGTTATGTGACCATAATCACTTCCGCAGCATTTTGTTGGCTTTCCAAACTTGTTTTCCTGAGCATGAATCTCAACAGTATGACCAAAGTCACCGTCTAATGGTCAATATGTATTTTAACGCTGTTATATATATGCAAATCGTGGCACACATACCGTCACCATTTTCGAATTCTTGAACAATTCCTCGTCTCCAAAGCATTCCCTGGCTACACAAATGACATAAGGTACTGCTATGTCGAAATTTGGAAGCATTTACAGTCAACGGACATGAAAACTGTGCTTGTTGATTGACAACTTCAGTGAGGTTGACTACGTCATCCGCATGCTTAAAAAAGACTTCCGCGACGTCTTTTTTCTAAAATTTGGAGTCAAGTCCTGTCGGTGGGGTCAATAAAAGCGATAGAGGAATTACATCAGGGATTTCATGAAGATAAGCACTATCTTTACCAACCAATTAGAAAAGCTAGTTGAGAATGTACAGTGTGGTGTAACAGTTCCGAATGAGAAATCGGAGATCCGAGTTTGAATCCAGTCTGCTTTCGTTACCCTTAGGAAAGCTATGAATCCATCTCTTCTCCTTGCTGGTATGGGTTGAATAACAGGACAAACTGAGTCCTATAGTATTGGTTGGCCACCGGTCTACCGCAGAAAAGAAACGGCAACATACAGCTGGAAAATCTTCTGTCTCGTCAATCATGAACCGAAAAAGACATAATCACGCAGACGTGTATCACGAATAATATTTAACTGATTCAGTTGATGATCAGGTCAGTTGGCGACTTGTCTGTATAGACGCTGTTCAAAACAACAGAAGCAAAGTTGGTCCAACAGGCAGAGGAACACCGTCGAAGACGTCACATGCAGAAAACTTCTCCTGCCAAGTTGAAGTAGGTCATCTTAGATGTCATACTTCCAAACAGGCCCGCCGTTCCTGTACTTGTCTAATCATCCAAACGAAAATATTTCCACCATTAGCAGATGACGCTCTACAACAATTAATACGACTAGAATATATAAAAATCTGTAATATTATTTAGATAAAACATATAATTTAATTGCTGATCGTATGTAATAGTTTCTAAATAATATTTTATTTATTATATACATTCGAATTAATGTCCACATGTTTGTTATTATATTATCAGGAATGATATCGTAAACAAAAGTTTTATATGCTGCATCCTAATATCTCTGGAACGTTGCATTTCAAATTGAAATATACCTGTACAGTATAAGTGGTATCGTAAAAAGCTATTATATATATATATATATATATATATATATATATATATATATATATAAATATATATATATATATATATGATAGAAAATATATATCAAAATAATAGTAGCCAAAATGGCTGCGCAATATACCGGGTGTAAGAGTAAAATTGTCTAAATGGTGTAACAGCACAATTATCCACTTCACAAAATGTTTAATATGTAAAAAAACACTAAACTGAGTTTCTTTTTTTCCAGATTTTCAGATAAAACGTTTAGCCAACTTGACACCATTTGTCGTAAGAATCAATGAAAAACCCTTTGTGTTATTCAGTTGGAAAGAGAAGAGGTGAAAATCGTTTTTTGTGAACCCCACTGTTTTTCTAGTGGTCAGTAGAAAAATCTTTCAGGCCTTCAGTAATTAATGTCCTCATCTTTGTTATCATTATCACAACTTTTGGTCCGTTATGGCTTCTAGACTTTTTCAGGTGCCTATCAATCGTATGGGACAATATCTAAGTGGATTAGAGAGTTGGTTCTTGAATTTGCTGACATACTAATTGTAAGTTCAATCCCTGATACGGGACATAGACTAAGGGGAAACAGGGTAACTGAGCTATATTTTAAAAAAACATCTAGAGATTTAGAGATATCACTAAACATAGTCAGTAGAACGAAAATAATGTACTCATGTATATTATACAAGATGGCACAACAAACGAAATATTGTGCTGATAACCACAAAGCTCACAATGTTAATTTAAATGTAATTAATCACAATTTCTCACACTAGAAATTCAGACATGATTCTTTTTATAGTTGGTTTCCTATTTTTTTTTCTTTCTTTTTTTTTCTAGTTGAAAGGATACATTTTGTCTGGAAAGTATCCAGCCGTTTGCGCGGGTTTCATGTAAGTTTACAATCAATAAAAGAAAATGTTACTACGCATGCGTGAACAGAAGCTCTCCCGTGGAGTTATTTAGTCGGCAGTGAGAAAACATAGAGTGACATTGTGTCTTGCTTGACACTTGAAACCTGGAAAAAGAAACTATTCAAGTGAGCCAGACTTTGGGGGATTAATCAATGAAGCAATCTAAGATAAAATGTTGGTACCACTGCTTCAAACATGTCCGAGAATCTGTTCTGGAGGGCTATCAACAAACATAGAATCCCAAAATGTCGGAAGCGTTCGGGCTGCAATCAAAAAGATGGACGATTTACGGTGTGAAAATTCGATCTGGAAAAAGTATCCAGCGATTTTAAATATCCTAACTATCCATACATCACATTTCGTGAATGGCTTTCTAGGGGTAGAATGAGGGGGGTGCAAAATATTACATTATCTAGGTCTGTCAGACTAATTCACCGCACCCATATTTGGTTCCCTGCGACTTCTGATGAAAATCGCCGCTGAGTTGGAAGAAACGTCATGAAGCAATTAATGGTGATTCCGAATGAGTCCCGAATGAGGACATTGCTGACTGCTTTTAAAAGAAACAAAGGACCTGGGATACAAAGGGAAGTTCTTGGACAGGGAATTCGTGCGCCGTTTCCCTAAATAGGATACTTTTTTTTCCATACTATTAATTAATATAATTTTTAGGGACCACATTACAAGCTGAAATATGGCTGTATATATACGTCGTCTATAAAATATGTACAAAGGCAAATGAATATTAAGCGTCGGGGGTTTTAGTAGATGTTGGAGCCGGGCCTTGCGGCTGCTGATTTAAATACAAGCATGATTTTGGTGATAATATTTATTGCCCATAAAATCCAAATGTGTCACAAGGCCAAAAAGGTGAAAGGGGAAAAGGACGGTCTTCTTCTGTCTTAACGTTAAACTTACCTAGCCACAGACACTGACCCAAACATACAAACAATATTTCTTACACCAAAACAACGTATTCTTACCCCATCGACTATAATGCCTCAAAAACTCCATGAAGTCCTAACTAGTCCCCATATATACAATTCATTGTCTGTTGGAGGAGGGGAATATAATAACAATTTTAAAAAATCTAACAATCCCAATAAGTATTTACAATATGTGTACAAAAACTATATACAAAAAACTAAACAAAATAGTGTTAGTAATAAAAAAAACCACAAATCAAAATATGGCAGAAATATCAGTTAACTGGACGAAATCAATGCTGGACTTTAAAACTATAAAACATGCTTTTGCTGATAACTGAGTATTTGAAGCTTTTTTTTAATTTTTACTCTTATTTAATTAATTTATATTTGCAAATAATGTTATTCTTAAATCGACTCTCATAAAATCCCAAAATCTAAGATTAAAAGATTTATTCAGTTTGGTATCTAGGATTTTACATATATTTCAAATCTGATAGATATATTTCAGTTTCTTCGTTTGTGGCGTCATCATAACACACAGAAAGCAAACACCGTGTTTATAAAAAAAATAAAATGAATAACATTCACAGTTTTCCCTAATCATGATAATGACCAGAAATGTGCTCAGAAACCTTCGATAACAAACCTTTTGGCAGTATTTACATTTATCAAATCCACACATACATTCTCTTTACAAAAATAGGAAAACGTAATAAAAATGTTTCCAAAAAAGCATCCCTTGTCTTACGTCAAAGTTGTATTACTTACGTTTTATGCAGTTAGGGAGCTCACCTAGCGCTCAACCGTTTTTTTTTTTTTTAATTCCGAGTGTTTTCTCCTAGACTGGCTACCAAATATTGTATCAAACTCCCTGTGGGTAGATAAGATAGATTCTTTTTTTTTTCAAATTTTAAATGCGTGCAAGCGAACACACAACGACCTCGGCTGGAATACTTTAAACAAATTTTATTAAAAACTGCCCAGCTCTACCTTTTAAACTTTTATTGAACTTTACTTTTTTAAGATAAGCTGTTAATCAGGCAAATGAATATTTTGAATAAATTTTGCAATGTTCATTAATTTATTCTTTTCAATTTCGAGTATTTTGGCCGCTTCGGTCATTATCAAGAATATTTTTATACGTTACATCTTAACATTTCTGGAACGTTGCATTTCAGATTGAAACATACCAGTATAGTATAATTGATATTGTAAAAAAACTATATATATATATATATATATATATATATATATGTATGTATGTGTGTGTGTGTGTGTGTGTGTGTGTGTGTGTGTGTGTGTGTGTGTGTGTGATAGAAAATATATATCAAAATAATAGGAGCCTAAATGTCTGCATATAGACCGGGTGCAACAGCAAAATTGTGTAACAGCATAATTATCCATCCCACAAAATGTTTAATATGTAAAAAAAAAACAAAAAAAAACACTAAACTTTTGAATTTCATTTTTTCAGGTTTCCAGATAACACGTTTAGCCATCTTGACACAATATGTTGTAAGAATCAATGAAAAACCCATTTGAGTTATTCAGCTGGAAAGAGAAGAGGTGAAAATTTTTTGTGAGAGTCCCACTGTCTTCTCAACTGAGCAATGGTGAGAGGAAAAAGATCATTCAGGCCTTCAGTAATGTTACCAACATTCATACTCTGGCTTCCATCTTCAAAGTACATCCAAGAACCATCAAAAGAACAGTGAATAAGTTTTTTAAAAAGTGGGAACTAGAGAGGAAACTTGGATCAGGAGGTCACAACAGGATGGAGAATCATAATTTCAAGTTAAAGAGATAAATTAGAAAATATCCAACTCAATTCATAAGATATTTGGCACGTATGAGAGGAGCTTCAGCTATGACGGTCCAAAGAGCAGTGAAAAAAAAAACCATGTATTTGAAATGGAAAAGAAACAAATGCTTATTTGTTCTTAATTGGTGTATTTAGTCAGGATAATATGCTGTATCTCAGTATCGATCAGATATCTCATCTATTTAGAAAATTGTTGATCCCGCGGCTATAAATTTAATAGGTTTCGATGCAATGAAACAATCAATATCAGTTTTAACCTCTTTCCAACAAATAAACCTTTTTCTCAAAAATGTTGCATTAATCTGAAAAAATGATAGTCAGATGAAGCAAGTTAAGGTGAGTAAGGAGGATGAGGCACAAATCTTCCATATATAATTCCATAATATTTTTCTGAGTGATTCGGGAAATATATGTTCTTACATTATCGTATATGGTAACCAATTATGGACGCTTTTTCTTCAAATTCTTGTGCAATGATTCCAACTGCCGACAGTACTTCTCCGCATTAACTGTTTTGTTTTTGTTAGCACTTGATGAGGGACAACAATCCCCACATCCCGCAAAACACAGAATATAACTTTTTTTCAGGTTTCATCTTGGTTTGCAGATGAATTCTCCGTTTTCAGGGCGATAACCATGTTTGTTTTCGTTAGATATGATTAAAAGGATCTCCCTTTCTTCACTGGTGATGATTCTACAGAGGAAAAGTTCAGTCTCTAATCTATTCTTCCAAGATGAGTAAAGAGTCAGCATTTTGGCTCAGCTGAAAAGTTGTCAGATGATGAGGGACCCATCGACTAAGTTTAGACATCTTTCCGAATATATTAATATGTCTCACGATTGAAGTATGAATTTATACTGAACTGTTTTTTGCTAATTCTCGTACTAATTGATATTCGCACTTTCTTTAACTATACTTTGTAGAAGATCACTATTGAGAGAATTCAGTCGCCCAGGTCGGGGAGAATATTCAAGAGGAAAATTTCTCGTTCGACATTGACCAAAGCATCGTTGGCATATCCGAAAACATTTAGACATAATGAATATTTATTTACATAGACATAATGAATATTTATTTACGGTAATCTCAACAATCTCCACTTAGCTTTACTTACACTAATAAATTTATGCGTGCCAATTAAGTGTATAGTTGTAGGAGCAGGAAATGCTGAACGAATTTTGAAATATTTTAAATAAAAAAATATATTGCATCGGCACTTAATCCTCATCTCAATTTTATCTTTATTTTCTTTTTCTTTTTGTAAAATATTTCAAACTTCGATCCAAATTTGGCTAATTTAAGCCAAAGCCAAAGCCAGAAGGCATATTTCAAAATTCCAGCTAAAGCCATTGCAAAAGGCATATCAAAATTCGGTCAAAATTTTGTTAATTCAAGCCGAGGTCATTGAGTTCACTATTGCATGAATATCCTTGGTATGAATTCATCCCTTTTGCCCCAAACTAAGGGTTAAATAGGAGAGCAGACGTAGCTTTTGATTTGCAGAAGGACAAATCTGAATTCAAAGTTAGGGAAAAATCTACTTGTTACGGAACCACACCAGTGTGGTGATGCTGTGACTCAAAACACAACATGTTGTATAGAGTGTCTACAGGTTCAGCATACTCAGTATATATGTTCTGTCTCACAAATGATGAAAACGTAATAAAAATTTAACTCAAGTGTTACTGAAAAAATATGACTATTATAAGTAGAATGCAAATGCATTCCTAATGATTTTCATATTGCATATATATTGAACGCAAGGAAGAATAGGATTGTTAGCGTTTGGCACTAAAAGCAAATGTTACTGACAGAACAGCGCTATTAAACGTTCAATGGAAATGAATTGTTAAAGGTTTTCTATAGAAATAAATTGTAAATCAGGGATTATCAAAGATTAGGAATTAAGACAAGACTTACCAACAGAATTAGTTTATTATATGTCTAATGTGAAGGTATTTCTAATCCTTTAATAAAAATATTCATTGAAAATAATTTTAGAAAAAATACATTGTAAATAAATTTACTAAATAATTCACTGAAAATCAGAAAGAAAGGGATTATGAGTGAATATGGTTTGACGGTGGAACAGACTAAATAGTGCGACTTTTCTCTCTCTCTCTCTCTCTCTCTCTCTCTCTCCCCTCTCTCTCTCTCTCTCTCTCTATATATATATATATATATATATATATATATATATATATATTTCCAGGTACAACGAATAGAGTACAATTCCTACGTTCATAATATTTAATTTAAAAGAGGGTTCAATACAGAGTAGACCAATATTATTTATGTAATATCTTAATAGATAGATAGATAGATAGATAGATAAGTCGGCTGATGTAACGTTGGAACCTGATGTAACCGAAAAAATAAGAAAAGAAATATAATATATATATATATATATATATATATATATATATATATATAAATCGCCTGATGTAACGTTGAAAGTGACGAAATAGGGCGATTTGTCTATCTATCTATCTATCTATATATATATATATATATATATATATATATATATATATATATATGTGTGTGTGTGTGTGTGTGTGTGTGTAAGCAACAATCTTTCTTTTATATTTGCTTCATTGAATGTGACGTACAAGGTAAATTTTATTATTTTTATTTAGTTTTTCTAATACCTTACATAGTCTGTGTCAGCATGAAAAGAAAACTAGCAGAATATTGGAAAACTGAATTAAAAAGACTCATAAATTTTCCTTGCAAGTTATATTCAGTGAAAAACTCGCATATACACCCAAACATACACACACACATACACACACACACATACATATATATCTATATCTAGATATCTAGATAGATATCTAGATAGATAGATAGATAGATATTGAAATGAATTAAGTCCGACAATTATCAAATATATTTTCTGTTTATACGGAGAACGCATATTTTCTATGAAATTTCTCTAAAATTCAGACCGGTAAATGTAATTAATAGTGTTTAATTAAAAAGAGGACATTTACTTAAATAAATTGTTTCTTTCAAAATAACGTATAACCGAAAATATATATATATAATATATATATATATATATATATATATATATATATATATATATATATATATATATATATATATATATATATATAATCGGCTAGGCTATATACAGAAAACAAATTTTTTGTGTCCCTGTGTGCTTGCGTGTGTGTGTATAGAGTTCTAAACAGTTACTGGCACATTATCTGAATACGATTATGTGCAGGGTTTTAGACGAATACATTGTTTATAAGAAATGAGAACGAATTTAAGTTTTAAATTTGATGTATCGTCATTTGCACAGGTTTTTAAAAGTGGGCCGAATAGAGAATTTTTCAACAGTCACCAAGACAGAGATCGACAGATGGTATCCTCAAAATTAAGCAAAATTTTACCATTAGGTAAATTCCACAATTGTTATTAATCGACCATTTTTGTCGCACTAAGCTTAGTAGTCGATCTACATTTTGGGATCCTAAAGGATGTTTATGAGAAATCCTTTGCAACCCCCAACAATAGGCCAACACCCAGCAAGGTTCAAAAGTCCTTACAAAGACTCCGAAGCCCAAATGGCAGAAAACAGAGTGGATATCTTTGAAATGGGCCACAAGGTGAGCTGCTTCGCGCTAGCAACGAAATCTGGTTAACCACTGTTATTTCTGACTATGGGTTACCTGATCAATTCTAGAGGTAGGCCATTGAAGACGAATCGTTAGGAAAAGGAGGTGATTTCTGATGTCAAAATGAAGCGATATGATTACAATCTGAATTGCGAGCTTAAGAACTGATCAATAGATACTATCAAGGCGTGCACTAACGAAGAATTCGAACATTAAAGTCTATGAATAGATTCTTGCAAGCTTAGTAGCCCTATTCAGCTGTGGGCTGAGGTAATTCTCGAAGTATATTTTGGAACTTGACCAAATACAGGGTTATTTTGAGGCCATGAAATAAGCACTGGAGAATATTCTGAAGTGAGTATTAAGTACGTCAACCCTGTTTTTTCTAATGTGGGGTGTCCATACGTGTACATATGAGCTCAAGACAAAAATTTCCCAGTCCCCACAGCCACTCTTACGCTGGCGTCAATATTACAATATTAGTGCAATGATGAAGATACTGCCACTGGACCAGGATTCTTGTCTATTGTTAAATAGACGGAAGAGATGCAATCCCGGACCTAAGGCTTATGATTCTATCACTAAAATAAGCTTATTTTAATAATAGATTTCAGTTTTTCTAATGTCCTTATTCTTTGTTGCGGAAAAAGTCAAGAAACTAAAAAAACAAGTTGCTTTCAATCTCCTCTGGGATAAGGAACTTTGAAACCTAAACTTAATTAGTCACAATATATTAAAAAGAGGTGTCAGTTTAAGCTGACAACATGTAGATATTGGTTATTAAATATCAATTAAGCATCGAAACTTGCATTGGAGATATAAACCAAATTCTAAAAAATATGATCATTATTATAAACAAAAAATAAAGTCAAAATCAAGGGCATTTTTTGATAAAAATCAAGGGCATTTTTTTATCAGAATTAAGGGTATTTTTTTATCAAAATTAAGGGACAATAAACGTGGACCTGAAATAAAAACCTCTGGAAATATCTTAAATTAAGATCCTGTCAATTCTTGGCGATCAGTTAATCGAATATGGTAAGTTGTATTTATTATGGCAGTTGCAGCACATATTCGTTGCCAAAAACGAACATAGTTTTTTTTTGTTGTTGATTGCTTAGTTTTTTACTGCTTATCAACCTTTTGCTGGTTATTTAAAGCCAGAAAGTGTTTTTAGATTGTAAGAATTTTTGAAAGTAATAATAATTTATTGATACAAGTCCTACTAAAAGACCCATTGCATGTGGATGTATTAGTAAATAGGACGAACTCGGATCTATAATTTCCAATTCCGAGCCATTATCGATTACACCACCTGCACATTGAAGTTTACATCACCTAATATTCCTAGGTTGCCATCCATCTAGGCGCTTAACCTATAACGTGTTTCAACGTGACATAGCCATAAGCCTGAACATCTAGAGGGAAAATTACGCAAAACAGTTCTGATTTGGTTAACAGAAAGTTTGACATGATATTGCAAGCCAGCCTACGTTTAGGAAAGCTATCACTCAGGAAATGATCATATCATTAGTTTGGAATACTTGAATGCATTCTGTTAACCAGTTTAGCACCTTAAGATGCCATTTTAATGAGATCACGCTCCTAGTGGCAAAAACTTACGAAAAGGTTAATTTAACATTATCAGATTGTTTTTCGTATACAATTACAGGTTCTTTCAATAATGAAAAAACGAATTCATTTCACCGCAGGTAATTTTTTTTTTTTTTTTTTTTGTCATGATTGTTAATAAACATGATTAGGATGCATTAATGGTAATGCAAAAAGTGGAGTCGGCGCCAAAAGTGGAGTCGGCGAGACCAGTTCAAATTTCGGACGAGTGTGTTGTGTTTCCTTTTGCAAATTTTTTGTGTGTCCCTGTGTGCTTGCGTGTGTGCATAGAGTTCTAAACAGTTACTGGCACATTATCCTAGAAAAAGAATGACTGTCTATTCGCCTTTAAACTAGGGGTCAAATAAAAAAAAGTACTTTATTCACTGCAGGCTTGGTTGTCAGCCAGACTAAGGGGAGGGTAACTCTAAATTGTAAACCATGAAAAAAAATCAACGGGAAACAATTCCACTAACTTTCTTAGGTAGTCATAGCAATAAAAAAAAGAAATAAAATTTGTGGAGAGTCGTGATCGCTTACACCCTGCAAAGAACTGTCATTTTATTTTCAATAAAAGTTATGTTTTTTTTTTCGTCTCTTTTATGTCTAAAGTATCGTAGACTGATAGAAATTCATATTAAACCCACATCAAAAACAGCACAAACTTTTACCACCCAGTTAAACAATAAGGTAACTGTCCGTAATTTTATCCAGATTAAAAAAGGACATGTTCTTTTTGTTTAATTCATTTTCTCAATTATGTTTGAATAGGTTTAATTTAGGCTTTAAAAACGTCATATATTTTAATGATTGAAACATTACACGTGGGGTTTTGCCTACAGTCTGAACATTTTAATGTCATCACTTGTTTTAGGTTTACAGGATATGACATCATTATAGATTCTCTGTTTGTTAAGTCTCTATTTTTCTCTTTATCGGTCATCGACGTTTTTTCAATCTTATTGTCTACATCCGTATAAGATGTATATATCACAATGCAAACGAGGGAAACAACGCATCAATACTTAGTGTGGTACATGTGTACGCATGCGCCATGCTTTCTGCATTTGTTTTCAGATTGTGGATAACTATTTTGCAGCCGCTGTGCATGAGGCAGAGGCTGACGGATTAAAAAAAATACGCAATGAAAGGGTCACGGAGATGTTGTGTGAAATGGTGGGGGCAATCAAGAGAAACGAAGACGTGGGAAGGAAGTAAGATGTAAAAGACAAGAAGAACGATGTCGGCGTCCTACCAGCTTCGCGCAGCAATCCAATTGGGAAGGAAATGCGTTCCTAGTAAATCATGATTTACTCCATTATTGACACCCAACATTTCATCCACGGCAATAATTAGTGCGCCGGGATTCAATTGAAACTAGTGCGAAAAAACACCAGCAACACGCCATTACCGACAAGTGACTTCCTAGCATTTTTATCTTTGTTTTTCTTTCCTTTTTCTTTCTTTGCTGCTTTATAACCTTTTTCTTTTCTTATCATTTTTCCCTCGTTTTCTTTTCTACATGAATTCCTTTTTCTCTTCATTTATCTTCCCTTTAATTTTCTTTTTTATGTACGTTTTTTCTATTCTATTCTTTCTTTCTTTCTTTCTTTCTTTTTTTCTTTCTTTCATTCTTTCTTTCTTTCTTTCTTTCGTTCGTTAGTTCGTTCTTTCTTTTCCGCCTGTTTCTTTCTTTTTTATTCGTTTTTCTTTGTCCCTAATTTACTCTCAATCATTTGTCGTTCCTTTCACACTTTCTTTTATATGGACTGAGTTTTAATCTTCATTTCTTTGCTTTTTCATTTTCTTTTGTTTTCTCTTTTACAAACATCACCTTTCTCTTCTTTTCTTGTAATTTCTATTTTCATTCTTTTTTTTTTAATTCTTTGTTTGTTTCTTTCTTTCTCTTACTTTAAATTATGTTTCGTTCTATCTGTCTTTTATTTTATCTCACACTTCTTTCTTTCTACTAGGATGCTTCTTTCTTTCTCACGTTTCCTTTTCTATTTTTAATTCCTTCTTTTTTTAACTTACGTTTCAGTCTTCCGTTTTGTCGTTTTTCTTTTTCCTTATTTTCTCTTTTTCTATTATTTCTTTCTTTCTTTTCTTTTGTCTCCTTTTTTTCTTTTACAAACTTCATCTGTCTCTCTGTTTCTCTGGCTTCCTTTTTTCTTTCTTTCAGATTCTCCTTCAATACTATTCATGTTTCTTTTTCTTTTTATTTGTCTTCTTTTGCTTCTCTCCAGTTAAAAGTGATTTTTAAACATTTACTTGCTTTCCTTCATTCGTTGTTCGTTGTTTTTGTTGTACATTTTTTTTTTCATTTCTTATTCACTTTTTCCATCTTTCTATTCTTTTTTATTTTGATTATTTTTTTATCATTGTTTTATAGACACTTCAAATTTCATTACGTTTAATATTTATTCTTTCTTTCGTTTTTACTTTCACGTTTCTCTTTTTTCAATCCTTCTCAGTCTAATAACTTCTCATTCTTCATTCTTTTTCATTCTTTGTCCTCGATAACTATATTGTCCTTTCTTTTTTTCTGTCTTTCTTTCTTTCATTTTTACTTTTTTTTTCTTTGACTGATTTTCCTTCTTATTTATTTTTGGGTTTCAAATTCACGTTTCTCTTCGCTCACTCTTTTCTCAATCTAGTAATCTCTCTTTCTATTAATTTCATTTTGTGTTCTCCATAATTCCATTCCTTCTCTTTCTCGCCTTTTTCTTCCTTTTCTTTGCTGTTATCCCTTTTCATTATAATGTTCTTATCTGTATCCTTCATTCTTCCTTTCCTTATTATTTCATCATCTCTCTTTCGCCCAGCGCCTTACCATTCTCATCGTCCTTTGTTAGCTTCTCTTCTCTGTTTCTCTCTCTTATTTTTTCCTCGACTATCTTTCCCCTGTTAAGCGCCCTGGTTTCAACAGCTAACAAATTACCGCCAAACATTTTCAATAATTGTGGTTTGCAATCCCATCAAACCGAACAAAAATAATGAAGAAAACGGAAGCAGATTTAGCTCGTCGAGTGCGCGTGCGCAGTGTGAAAGAAAAGAATTTGTGAACATGCTTCCGTTTAGGATATTGCGAGGACGTGTATGAAAGATATCACTTTGTTTTATAACTTCCTCACAACATCGCCGCCATTACCGCTGTCATCGTCGTCTTCTTTCCTCCCTCCTGTAGCCGCCTCCACCATCAATGTCATTAATATAATTAGTAATATATTTGGAAATATTTGTTTTTGTTCAAACTATTTTCATCCGTTTCTCGTTGTTTGTTTTTAATAATAATAATAATAATAATAATAATAATAATAATAATACATTTTAATTTCACTGTTAATGCAAAAACAAATGTTATTGTTATTTTTCTTCTTGCTGCTGATTGATTTTCTTCTTCTTCTACTACTACTACTACTACTACTACTCCTTCTTCTTCTTCTTCTTATTATTATTATTATTATTATTATTATTATTATTATTATTTCCTTTGGTTTCTGGTGTATACTCATTTCTTTCCGAGAGCAGTTTTGAAAAAAAAAAAACGCACATATGTTACGGAGAAAAAGCTCTTTGTAAGGTGTGGGCTGTACTTGTGAGTACAATTTTTTGTATTTCTTTAAGGCTTGGATTACCAGGAACCCCTTCAATGAGTCTATCGGAAACTTTTCCAATCATTCCGAGGGCTCCAACTACAACTGGAATTGTTAATGTCCTCATGTGAAACATTTTTTTAGGTTTCGAATTCAAGGTTCTTGTATTCTGATAGTTTTTTTTTTTGTTTTGTTTTTTTTTAAGATCTCCAAAGATACATTGCAGTCTGCAGGGACTGCCATGTCAATAAGGAGGCACATTTTGTCTTTGCGGTCTCTAATCACGATGTCAGGGTGATTAGCTTTGGTTGTTACAGGTCCTATGTCTGTAACCGGGGTTGGGTGATGTTCATACTTATTATTATTATTATTTGCTTTTGATTTATATTTAGTACAATTACTTATCTAATTATTATTATGATGCTAAGTGAGATTAAACATGTACAGTATTTATATTTTCTTTATATTGATTATAAACTCTTAAGTAGGTAAGGAGTTTCACACACCGCATCTCTTGCTAATAGGGGCTGAGAAGGACATAGATGATATTTTGTCTCTGTCCTTTTTTATCGTACACAGTGTAGTTTAAATTCGAGAGACTGGCCTAAATTCTTTAGTAGGCGCTAATCCTGAGTGACAAAGTGTAGATGTTGTATTTGTCGTATTGTCTCTTCATCTTTCGTACACTGCATATTTATATTCTCTCAAATCTCGTAGTCGTCGTGATTTTGAGTTAATTTGTCAGCAAAAAAAAAATCAATATGGCTTCCGCACGAGATTGTTTTACGTACGGACGTCTATGAGGTAACTTTTTTTTTTTCAAACTACACACGGGACACCAATTACGTCAGGTTTAAGTTTAGTTAAGAACCACTTTTTTTAATTTCAAGATCCTTATATTTCCTTATAATCTCATATACTTTGACAACCCCCGAAATTGATCCACCCACTCATGCACACTCAAACACATGTATAGCATAAAATATAGTTTTTAGGTATGTTATATTATTGGTCAAAGTAGTCAATGTCAAAGATAACATGGACAATTAGATCAATACCGAGAGACGACAATCTGTTTCATGCTTGAATGCATTATTTAGACCAGGAGTGCTGTGTGTTGCCACTACACAACACACAACAAACCTATATATGGTAGTCAGTGGGACAGTGATGCTACCCATAATGCCCCACTGGCTAACACATATATAAATAAACAACATGCATGGCCTGGAGATTGCGTTCAAGAAACAGACTGTCGCAACTCAGTCAAAACCCTATACCCATCTCTTATTTTCTACCACTTTACTTCCCCCATTTTTCTTTCTTTTTTTCTTCCTTTTTTTCCATATCATTTCCGGTTTGTTGATCGATTAAATAGGTCGATGTCTGATCCTTACGCCCCCCTCCTCCTCAATATTAAGTATTGTAATAAAAATAAAAATACATTTCAAAATTCTCCCTTCCCTCTCTAATTTCGACCATGTCTCTCACACTATCCCTCACCACCCTCTATGTCACCTTATATAAGCTTAATACTGCCCTTCAAAAGTGTAAATTTTAAATTCATTTTTTCACCCTTGAAAGTGAAGTCTTTGGTGAAATAAATTATAAAAATGGAACCTTAAAGTGGTCTGTTTTTTCTTTAAATTAAATTATTCGCTCTGAATTAAAATTGAGCTCTCCTGATTTCATCCTCCTTGGGACTATCAATACAGATTACCAAGATTTTCGTTACTCATATATATATATATATATATATATATATATATATATATATATATATATATATGATAGCACTGTCATATCTATGGAATGACATTTTTGCTTTTAGTCTTTAATCACTAAATCTGGTCTATTAGCTTTTATATTTCTGTCAGAATGGTCCCAAAGAGAATAATAAATTCATAGCCGTCTGTGACTTTTTCGGGATGATGTTCATACCATTTTTAGCGCGTAGCTCAGTTTAATACTGATTTATCTTCCAATTAATATACTGACCAATTTTATCATGTTGATCTTTATATTCCTTTAGTGTCAAGGTTGGTTAACTAGAGACTAAGTGATCAATAGTCTCACCATGTTGTTCAAATAAACTATATATTGGATCTTCACAATTTTTTTTTATTATGTTTGCTTGGTAATTCCAGTTAATTCGGCTTTGAAACCGTGCAGCCATTATCAATGCCTCTGTTTCCGCTTTTAGCCAAAATGTAGTTTTGTTTATCTATATTCGCATCGTTACTTCTGGAAGCATATTAGCTATGTTAGGGTTTTGTTCCCAGGTGATTTTTAAATTATTTAATCTTTATATTTTAGCATCATTTTTATCTTCATTTGGTCGTTAAGTATTCTTATTTATTTATTTCATATTCTTATTTATTGAATCCTTTAGGATTTTTTTAATTTTCTCACGATCACTCAGATGTGGTCGCTATATATTTTAACGTCCTGGGTATGACGATAAACTACATACGGCAGCAAGGCCTGTGATCGGAAGGTTTGGGGAAGAGTAGAACCACCTAATAACTGCTATAGTTCAAAGATCCACTCAGACTCGGGGTGTTAGCACCTGTTAGGGTCCCAGCTATTGGTATATAGTTAATCCGCAAATTGGGGGAAAAACATAATGAATGTCTAAATAATTTTATCATAAAAATAGCACTAATATATTTTCATAGTAAAAAAATTAGCAGCAATTTTGGTAAACAAAATGTTCAAATAAATTACCATAGATATTTGAAAAAAAAATACCAATAGATATTTGAAGAAAATATTACCAGCAATATATTTTTGGGAAAAAATTTCCAGCAATACATGTTTTGGAAAGGAAAAAAAATATTAGCAGCTATACATTTTTTTGTAAAAAACAGTTACAGTTATCAGTAATATATTTTTGAAATAAATTTAAGAACTTATTAATGCTTCCAAGAAAATTAAATTTCGACATTAAATGACCCATGAAGGATGTTGATATGCCGCTAAGCAAACAAACAAAACAAATAAAAAAAACTAAATATTTTAAAACAAATAGGTATTGTTTTGTAGGTCAACAAGTTAGATTAAGCCTTTACTCCCATTAATACTGTGGATGTGCGGATGGTGTAATGGATATCGGCTCGGAATAAATAAATCGGTAGAGCTCGAATCCGAGTCGAGTTTGTTACAGTGGAAAAAGTATGAATCCATATCTTCTCTACACCAGCTATGGGTAAATGCATGAGAGACTAGACAATATAGTTTAGGAGAGGAAAGATTCTGAATTCAAACCAACCTAATCAATATTAGCATCCGTTACGTCATTTTGCCCAGGCACAGCACTACTGCTACAGCTGCATTACAAGTGGCGTCCCTATAATCCTTAGCGGTTAAGGGACTGCAAATTAATTCTGCAAATATGAAGAAAATCAACATCCACCTTGGAATACTGCATGTTAGGGTAACTCTTCTTATTTTTATTTAGAATCCCTTTATGTTTATCGCAGCTGTAGTCCAGTTGATAAAGGTAAAGCCTATAACTGGTATTGGCAGATAACCAGTTATAGGATTTATAACCAGTAATAAATATTATAACCAATTCGATTACGAGTACGCAGAATAACTCTTATTCTTTTGTAGAATTCTTTTCTAATATTAAATTCCTTTCTAATTTAATTTTATTACAGGAAACTTTTATTAGAGTCTTAAACAACAGAGATATAGTTCTACACAAGGAAGTTAACAATACCATGGACCGAACATGCGAGCAACGACGCAATTTTAGAGAAAATAGAAACAAAAAGGTCACATCAGAAAGAGACAGTTGAAATTATTCTGGGAAGTAATGAGGAAAGAGAGCTTAGAAAATTTAAAACACTTGAGGGTAAGAGAGCGAGAGAGGAAAGTAACAAAAGACAAGGATATCTGTCTATATTTCTGAGATGAGATATTGTAAATATTTACACTATTTACATTGTTCAGACTGTTATCCTGAACTTTGTTGACATATTCACAACGTTTCGTCCGTTGTACGCTCCGGCTTTCTTCAGATGATTGGAATTTCTAACTGAACCCTGTATTTCGTCCACTGGGGTAGATTGTTCTATTTCCACATTCTATGCCTCTTCCGGGTGTCACGTGAGTTAAAGGGAAATGACTGAGACATCCGGAAGAAGTATGGCACGTGGAACCGGCACAATCTACTCTGCTGGACGAAATAAAGGGTTCAGTTCAAAATTACAATCACCTGAAGAAGGCCGGCGCATACTAGGGCCGAAACGCCGTGAATATGGCAACAAAGATGAGGACAACCGTTGCTTTGTTATTTACATGCTTGTTGTCATCTTCCTGTTCGATTTCTCAATATTTGTAGGCATCGTCTTGATTAGGCTCTATTATTGCACTATCCATATGAATTGCTATGTTATTGGTCATCGCGAGATTCTATTTCTATGTTCCATGTCTGTTCAAGACGTTGGCTTTCATGGCTCTTCACAATTTCGTGTCCTTTGTAGCTCTTAATAAATTTGCCTTTTTTTAATCTCTCCTTGCTTCGCCTTCCATTTACTCAAGCTCGCTAGGTACGTTTCCCTCTGTCCCTCTTGCCTTAAATCTCTCCTGTATCCAATTTTCCAAACCCTCTTTCCTCATTATGTGCCATAGAAATTTCAACTGTCTCTTTCTGATGTTAATTATGAATGTCCTTCCTGTTTCCATTTTCCTTAAAGCTTCGTCGTTCGGTTCATGGTATTCTCCACATCCTTCTGTAGAACCACACTACTGTTGCTTTAAATCTCTTCTTCATCTGTAAGGAAACTGACCAGTTTTCACTACCATATAGGAGAGCTGATATTACGTAACCGTTCTGTAGATTATGCGCTGTTTTCCTCTGTCCCTCTGGTCTTCAATCTGTCCAGTGAGTATCAAATTTTCCAAGCCCTCTTTCCTCACATGTCCTAGAAATTTCAACTGATGTTAAATATAAGTATCCATTTTGTTTCGATTTTCTCTAAAACTACATGGTTGCTCACATGTTTGGTCCATTGTATTCTCAGCATCCTTCTGTAGAACCACATTTCTGATGCTTCAAGTCTCTTTTTTCGGTTTAGATTACTGGAACATATTTTTTTAAGTAGCAGAACATTCAGAAATGAAAAAAATGTATTTCAACCATTTTTCCTGGGAAACTCACGACCCCATTTACTTAAATGTGGAATCGAAAATTTTTCTTCCTGTTTGGATGCAGAATAAAGATGTTTACATTTTTGATAAATAATATTTAAATGAATTTAATTTGCATTCGTTTTTATATCTTTCTGGTAAAATTCCGAACACAGTAATATGAAAGATTTTTTTTCTCCACTCAGGAGCGCCTGCTCTTCTGCTTCGTACTTTTTTTTTATTTCTCTGTAAAATGTTCCGTCGTTGTTTTGGAGTTTGCAGCTATGCATAAATGTTGCAATTGTCTCTCTGTATATACAATCTTATTTCTTTTGCCATTCTTATTTGACTTATTTTCAATAATACTCACCATATTCCTTTCTATTTTATTTTGCATATATCCTATACACCTGGTGCGTGGTCAGTAGTTGTAAATGCTGCCTGTAAGTTAATCAAGCGTTTTGGAGTTTTTTTTGGGGGGGGTGCAGATACCGCTTTCTAATCTTGTTTCCCAAAACAGTTTGTTGTTCATGCTATTTTCCAGACCAACGAACATTTCCGGTACAGACTTTGCGCCTGCGTATTTCAAGATGCTCACCTCCGTTACACTGTTAGTTTCGATAAGTTGTAGAAGAGAGGTGACATTTTCGATTTTGTATTTTCCAGTCCTTAACTTGGGAAAAGAGGAATCGTTCTATATTTTTTGGCATCATTTCACTTTTTTCTGCATTATTTTCAATAAAAAAAAATAATTTTAAAAAATTCAGCAGATAAAAAGTGGAATGGTTCTCTTTCTTTCAAAGTAAGAACTGAAAAAAATTAAAATAAGAAATCTTGTACATTTTATTTTATGCTTGCTTAATGTTTTTTTTTCTACCGTTAAGCTAGCATTTTCTGTATCTAGTTTTAGTTTTAAGAATTCATTTGACTTTCTTTCTGTTGTCTCTGATATCAACAGTCAATTCTTCCATTTCTTTTAAGCTTTCATCTTCTTCCTTTCTTTCTCTTTCTCTTCCATTTTCTTCCCCTAATTTTTCTTCTCATTTCCGTTCTTTTAATTCTTTGTCTTGTTTCTTGTTTTGCTTCTTTCCCGTTTCTCTTCATTTTATTTTCTTCTTTCTTTCCTCTTTTTTATCCTTATTTATATTTCTTCTTTTCTTTTTCCTCCTATTCTTCTTACTATTATTATTTCCCTTTTCTCATTTACTTTTCTGTTTCTTCTCTCTTCTTTCTCCCATTCCACTTTCGTTTTTCCCTTTCTTCTTCTTCTTCTACGACTAATACTACTAATACTATTACTACTACTTTTACTATCAATACTTTCTCATTCGTATTTTTTTCATTCTATCGCTTGATTTGACCTAATTTCTGTTTTTTCCTCTTTCGCTTTTTTTCTTCTTCTTTTGATTTTCTCTTTCTTTTTTTATTTTTTATGTGTTCCTTCTACATATATCTTCCTTGCTTGTTCTTTTTTTTTCTTTCCTCTCACTTCCTCTTTTTGTTAGCCTTTTTCCCCTTGATTCTTGGATTTTTCTTTTGAGTTTCTTTTCCTTCCATTCCTCTTTTTTACTTTCTTTATTTTTATCCATCATTATCATTATTATTATTATTATTATTGTTGTTGTTGTTGTTATTGTCGTCGTTTCCATCTATTCATCGTTTTAGCTATTTTTAAAAGCTTATTTTCAATTTATCTTTCTCCTTGTTCTTCGGCATTCTACTGTTGTTCTCTTACTTATTTCAGTTTTATTTTTTCTTCCTCGGCGGAGTGATCTATCTATTTAGGATGTACGTTGTTCAGCGCAAGGAAATAGGCATGAATTAATGATGGCATCGCTCATTAATCTTCATAACCGGCACTACTTGATCAAACCAGGATCTGAGCATGACGTACTGACATGGCTGCCCAACATTTTTCTTTTTAATATCGTCAGCTCAGTGCGCATGCGTTAAAATTGTGAGTATATGCGCGCGCATATATCACCCTTTACTTGCGAAATTATGAATGCGTATTGGTTTTATGCGTATTATGAAAGATATGCCAAGATGGTTGAATGTCTCTGAGCATGTCTTTATAAAAATATAGTCATATGTTTAGTAAAACGAGTGTTTGCATATGACAGAATGAGTACAATTAAAAGGTACGGAGATAAAGATTTGAATGTGCATATACATATGGAATACATAAACATGCTGACCGACTCATTTTAAACAAAATATTTATTTTTGAACTTAATATTCTTCCTATACAGTAATTATGCATTACATGAATCTAATATCATGCAATGAGACTTTCAGATTGAAATGCTGCTAATAACTACGTACCAAGCTGGTGTCTTGTTGATCTACTCTCGTATGCATGATTATGTAAGTATTTGTCTATAACCGGAAGGGAGAAGTAGATTTTGAGGAAGGTGAATAGTTGAAATGCGTATAAAAATATACATCTTCGGTCCTTTCGCTTACTAAAGAGGATTTGTCGCTGACGTCAAACTCGATTCTGGGCGGCTGTTTACGTTGTTTCTGTCTAACTGATTCACAGTGTCATTACTCCGGGTAATTCTTGAGGAACGGCAACAACTGAACAGAGTGCAAAAAGATATTTCATCGTCTTCGGCCTTTCGCTCCCAATGTAGCATAAGCTCTCCTCGATGCTTCCTTCCAGGGGCTTCTCAGTCTCATGTCTCCAGATGTTTCTTAGCCGGCTTTCCTAAGGTCCTCAGTTCATGGCTTGGTGTCTGATCCTATCCAACATCAATTCCTGCTCTTCGCCACATTTCTTGAGTCTATATATATATATATATATATATATATATATATATATATATATATATATATGTGTGTGTTGTAGAATATATATATATATATATATATATATATATATGTGTGTGTGTGTGTGTGTGTGTTTGTAGATATATATGTGTGTGTATGTGTTTGTAGATATATATATATATGTGTGTGTGTGTGTTTGTAGATATATATATATATATGTGTGTGTGTGTGTGTGTGTGTGTGTGTGTGTGTGTGTGTGTGTGTGTGTGTGTGTGTGTGTGTGTGTGTGTGTGTGTGTGTGTGTGTGTGTGTGTACCAGGTGTCACAGCAAAATTGTCCAATTGTTAAGCTTTGAACCGTTGTATCTTAGAAATGATTAAAGATATCTTACTGTAATTCCGGGGTTTTTATAACACTAGTTGACTCTACTCTTGAGCAATAAGAATGTTTAATTACTCTCCAAGCTTAACAAAACTAACCATAGCTAAGGATCGGAAGCTCATGAAGGATTGAAATAAAGTTCAAAATATATATATATATATATATATATATATATATATATATATATATATATATATATATATATTATTCCAGGATCATTTTCCAACTTATTCAAGTGATCTTCAACCTCTAACTTTGTAACTTTCTTTCTTGGAGTAACAAGATGCGTCACACGTTTCACGTAAGATTTCATTGTCAAGTCTTTTTTCACGACTCTTTGAATTGTCATAGCTGAAACTCATCTCTCACGTACCAAACGTCTTAAAGATTGAGTTAGATTTTTCTCTTTAGCTTTAATTTGAAATTGATGACCCCTCTTCCTGCTGTGACCTCCTGATCCAGTTTTCCTCTCTACTGTTCCCTCTTTTTTAAATTTATTCACCATTCTTGAATTCACCATGGTTCTTGAATGGACTTTGAAGATGGAAGCCAGAGTATAAATGTTTGTAACATTACTGAAGGGCTGAATTATTTTTTCTTCTCACCATTACTCCATTGAGAAGACAGTGGGGCCTGACACAAAGCGATCTGAACCATGTCCCCTTTCTAGCTGAATAACGCAAAGGGTTTTTCAGTGATTTTTACGACAAATGGTATCAAGATGACTGAACGTCTCATCTGAAAACCTTGAAAAAAAAAGAAACTCAGTTAGTTTAGTGGCTTTTTTAGATATTAAACATTTTGTGAGATGGGCATTTATGCTGTAACAGGATTTGAAGAATTTTGCTGTTACACCTGGTATATATATATATATATATATATATATATATATATATATATATATATATATATATATAAGTGATAGAAATTATTAGGAGGATATGATAATTATAATTAAGTAATTCATCGAGCCTAGAAGAAACCTCAACAGAATACAGAAAGCACTGGACGGCCGTAATAATATAGGATATCGTAGACCAGAGAGAATGACTGATGGCTGCCGACATTGTTGTTCATAGCTGTATCATCCGCGTGATATCAGCTTATATCCTAACTGAAAAGAATATTTGGGACTTATCAGCATTTGTGTATTTAGGCAGCACTCCTTCTTTCATGCGCATTTCATTGAATACGACAGACAAGGTGCTTTTATTTAGTTTTTTATACAATTTCTCATGCGATCTAATTTTTTTCTTTTCTTTTCAGATGATAAATTATATAAAAACTGTCCGAATGTTCTTTTTATCCGAGCACTTTCGGCTATATATTTAGCCATTTTCAATGATTAAATATTTTAACTGTTAAATTGGAAATAGTTTGTTGTATGTATGTTTTATAAAATGTTTTCATTTTTCAAAACACAGTCAAGATATTGTGTTTATGTTCAAAGTTAATATTAGTAAGTGTTGTTTTTTTTTGTTTTTATTAATAAGGCTTCCATTATTTTCAGACATTTTTTGCATGTAGATGATTATATTAGTGTTGTCAACAAGTATATTACGAATAGTGTGTGGTAGGTCACCATGAATATTTAAATGAGATCTAATTGAGCTATGGTCAGAAAGGTGTAGAGTAAACCTGCGTGTCAAATATATAAATGCAAAGATAAAGAGAGATGTGCGTGTGTAAAAACATTGAAAGTTCACGATATATGTCGAAGATCGACTCAAAGTTTCAGGATGTTTTGCTCTTTAGAACCCAGAACCATAGTTATGTGAGTCTTGAAAAGCGAAGTGTTACGAAACTCTGAGTCGAACTTTGATAAGTATCGTAATGGTTCAATATTTTTGATGCACTAATTATTAGTTTTGATAATTATTGAACATTTTTAGTTAAATATTCTGTTAGTCTTGGCCGTGTCTTCATCGCACATTTTGCATACAATTTAATTTTGACTAGCAACAAGGAGAAAAGACAGAAAGGAGTTGGAATTTTAATACGCAAATCACCAGATATTGTAATAGAGGATATCGTAGACCAGAGAGAATGACTGATGGCTGCCGACATTGTTGTTCATAGCTGTATCATCCGCGTGATATCAGCTTATATCCTAACTGAAAAGAATGTGTTGTTTTCCGAAAAGGAGAACTTCTCAGAATTAAGTAGACATTGTATATTGGAAAAGAAACCACAGTAAACTATGCAAGGAATTTTAATACTACCGCAAGCATTTTTAAACGCTACTGCTCCTTTGATGGATAAGAAGAAATCACCCTTTGAAACGGAAATCTCAAAGAAAAATGAAGAAATCTTATTACAATTTTTCTTATTCACAAAGATATCTCATACTTAATCACATAAAACACCGCATCACATGGCATAGCCTAGATAATGTGGCAAAAAGATTATGTTATCTTGGATTAGGTAGCTTGTGAGAAATGTTAGACTATACAACTCCTGCTTTAAATCAGATCACAAACTACTTGTAACTAAACTGGTAACACCAGCCAACAAAATGGCTGGCTTCTGCACACCTAAAAAAACACCGAGGTATATATCTAATCCCTTATAAATGAAAGGGTAAATTTAGAATTGAATAATAAACCAGAGTCTAAACTGATGTCAATAAATTTTGATCAAAAACATAGAGGAATCAAATAATGTTATATTTTCATTAGTGGAAGCGCGTGGGAACATCTCAAGAATACAGAGATGGAAAAAGATCCACCCAATGGGCGATAATCCTTAGTTTATGTTGAAACTTGACTAATGCATAGAATAATAATACAACACAAAATGTACTTAGAACAAAATGTATTGAAACAACAAAGTGTACACAATATTTACATATAGTCCTTTGTATATTCTTGGGAAGACCGTTCCTGAAGAATGTGTTGACTTAGTCGCAGTAGGGCAGAGTCTCTGGATTGAATCTCTTGATTCCCTCCTCTCGTCTTCCCGGTACCAACCATATTTATATGGTCGGTACTCCACTATGCAAATTAGATGGATCCTACCACAACAGTTTACAAACTTGTTACGAGAAAGAAAGAAACAGAAGAGGAAAAATGAAACGGAAAATATCAAGCAATTAACAAAGAAAATAAAAATTAATTCGTTCTTTGAGAAACGAACATCTTCGGAAAATTGAAAAGTAAATTAATGAAGGCAAACAGCATAGATAATGTCTTAAAATGTAGGGAAAAG